TATACGATCCAAATTTCTTTATCGGTCTCCATGCCTCCCTCTGGTGTCAATCATCTGTCTCAGCCTTGCATTTCTGGTATCTCTACCCTTCTCCTCGTTTTTGTTTATCAACTAATTACAATCTCCCTTACCCTTCGTTTTGATTTTCCAAATTTGTGCTAAAATGAATCCGCAGCATTTGGGGATGTTGGGTTCTTTTTCTTCTGTTCGGATTTTTCCTTATCGACTTCTTCTTCTTCTTCTTCTTCTTGGGTGTCGTCTTTGTTGACGAACAGGGGATTCTTCTTCCTCTTACGCAGACAAAAAATCCGGGTGGATGAAATGGTTGAGCAAAATTTTCCGGTCAGGAGGCAACAGGGGAGGCAGCGGTGGGGGCAGCCGCCATACACATCAGCATCTTGGTGATCAAGAGAACGTGGTCTGGCGAGCTCCGGCGAGATCATCGGTGAACTTCTGTTTTCTTTTTCCCCCTTCTTCAGTTTGATCTTCTTTGGTTAGCTTATCTTTTAACTACTCAACTTTTGTAGTGAGGGTTGATATTTTACAAGACAAAGCATATGATGTAACAGGTTGATGCTAGTTGACTTTTCCACTCTTTTGAGTGGTTTGGGATAATAGTTCGTTTGCTCTTTACGCATATAGCTTATTGGAAGTACTTGAAACCCCCTTTTTCTTTTTTTCCTTTTGGAGAGAATTAAAGTTATTTTAGTTGATTATGTCGGTTCAATAATGTTTTATTTGGTTTGTACTGACTTCAACACAAACCAAGTTGATTATTGATCAATCAGTGGTATGTTCATTCGGTTTCTAAACCACTTGGTACTTGAACTATCTTTGAACAATGATTTTCCTTCTGTGATTGTATTGTAAATAGCCAAGGGAGCATGTTTAAGCAAGCCCATCATGATGTAAAACAGGGCTAATAAGCAAATGTTTTCATTTGAATGATGTTGGGGAAGAATTTACTTCATTCATTAAGGTCTTTTTTATTGAATTGTTATTTGAACAGGAAGATCCTTCCAAAGCTCATAAGGAGAAAGAAGAACTAGACCGTGCAATTGCACTCTCTTTAGCTGAAGATTTGAAAAGACGAAATCGTATGATCTCCTAAACTGAACTTGGATTTTAAATGTTTCGCTCTATCACTCTTCTCTCAAAGAGAAATCATTAAGATTGATTCGTTCTTCTGTCAGGGCATCGTTGGCGTACAGAAAACGATGAAGCAATTGCTAGAGAAATGCAGGACAAGATGAATTTATCTCCATATCCTTCTGTTGCACCTCCTCAGTTCCATCCCGGTGACATTAGGTATAATGTTATGTTAGACTTCAACTTAACTACACAACAAATTCTTTTAAAATGGTTTCCTCCTAATGGTTTAATTGATATATGCGTAATCATGTCTCGAAGTCGTAGATATTGTGGTGGCTGCAAGCGTGCAATCAGCTATGGCAATTATTTGGGATGCATGGGCACCTACTTCCATCCTGGGTGCTTTTGTTGTCATTCTTGCGGTTATCCTATTACCGAGCATGAGGTATTCTAATATCCTATCCTTCCTTTGGTCACAAGACCCTAGCTGTGAATTTTCTTCTCCTAGTTATGCTTCCCACTCTGTTTCCTTTTCCTACTCATTCAAGTTCTCATTTCTGTGGATTCAAGTTTTCGTTGTCGGGGAAAGATCCATATCACAAGTCTTGTTTCAAGGAGCTGACCCATCCAAAGTGTGAAGTCTGCCACCAATTTGTAAGAATTTCATTGTTGTCTTCATCGGACATTACTTCCTATTATCATATTATGTTACTAGTGGATTGTGAGGAACATCAACACATTTGTTAGACCTCATTGGTATCTCTCATTAGCTGGTATGAAGAATTTGATTCTTCCATTCTCAACTTTCAGATCCCTACAAATCGAGCCGGTTTGATCGAGTATAGATGTCATCCTTTTTGGTCTCAGAAGTATTGTCCATCCCATGAACATGACAACACAGCCCGTTGTTGTAGCTGTGAACGTTTGGAGGTATCAATGAAAACAATTGAGCTTGCATGAGGTCGAGGCTTCTCCCTCTACTGCTAACTACAATTCCACATGGTTTTACAGTCTTGGAATGCAAGATACATTTCTTTGGGAGATGGACGGAGCCTATGCCTAGAATGCATGGAGTCTGCTATCATGGACACGGGAGACTGCCAACCACTCTACCACTCCATTCGAGACTATTACGAAGGGATGAACATGAGAATAGATCAGCAAATTCCCATGCTTCTGGTTGAAAGACAGGCACTCAATGAAGCTATTGTTGGGGAGAAGCATGTAATAAACTATCTTTTACGCCTTCTTCTTACCTGTGCAGAAATTCCTCTCATCAGCACCCTTTTCCTTACAGGGCTTCCATCACATGCCTGAGACTAGAGGTTTATGTCTTTCTGAAGAGCAGACTGTCACCAGTGTACGTTTTCTTAGAGTTGTTTTTTTTCAAAATCATAGAGTAGCGATCGGGGTTTTTATAGGTATTGAACTTGTTCTCGTTAATCATGTTCAGATCCTCAAGAGGCCAAGAATTGGAGGGCATCGGCTCATCGGAATGAGAACTCAACTGCAGAAGCTGACTCGTAGATGCGAAGTTACAGCCATTCTTGTTCTTTATGGTCTTCCAAGGTAGGCATTCTTGATTTTGTACTTTGAAATTTATTGAAGATTCTAAGGTTTGTATGTTTATGTCTAAAATGGAAGTTGGAACTACTTTTAAACTTCATGGTGTTTGAGCTTTCCAAGAAGATCAACGGTTAAATCATTATATTTTCTAATACTCGAGCATATCTCGCTCTTCTGTAACACAATCTTCTGTAACACAATCTTCTGTAGAGTTTACATCGTCCACCATTTTTATACTCTTAGCTTTCACAGATTACTAACAGGGGCTATTCTTGCTCATGAGTTGATGCACGGCTGGTTACGGCTAAAAGGTAAAGCTCCATCTTCTTCCCTTTCCACTTTTTTTGGATCTTGATCCGTGTGCTTACCTCGAAAACTGATACTACTTGAAATTATGGTAGGATATCGCAACCTTAACCCGGAGGTAGAAGAAGGTATCTGTCAAGTGCTTTCCTACATGTGGCTTGAATCCGAAGTAATGCCGGGGTCTAAATCGGGACCTTCGACATCCACTGCATCCTCATCTTCTTCTTCTTCCTCGTCCTACTACTCTTCATCATCAAAGAAAGGTGGTAAATCTTCTGCCGAAAACAAACTGGGTGAATTTTTCATGCACCAAATAGCGAACGATGCCTCGGCAGCTTATGGGGAAGGTTTCAGAGCTGCTAATGCAGCTGTGAATAAATATGGGCTGCGTCGGACACTGGACCATATAAGCATGACAGGAAGTTTCCCAGTGTAATAAAACATGTGTTTGTGATTAGTTTGATGTGGGGAGACATTGTTTTTGTTACCAGATGGATGTGGAACTGCAGCTTCTTTTGGCTCTGGTTTAAGACAGCATCAGGTCAGGTTCAAAAGGAGTCTCATTTGGAATAACATGTATTTCTTCTTCTTCCTAACCTTCCATTTCTTTTGTTGCCTGCTTTCCCTCCCCCTTCTTGGCTTCTTTGCTCAAGAATGTAGCTGCTGTTCTTCCTACTGTTTCTCTCATCTTTGGGAAAACAAAACAAATAACCAGAAGGAACAAAGGAAACCCAAAACCTGAAATATATGAACACATATACTTGGTTTAAATATGGATATCGATTAAAACTTTATTCAGGAACTGGAATTGCATTTTTTTTAATTTAAGAACTAAATCAACATGTTCATCTGCCAATATTTATGGGAAGGCTTATTTGAATTTTTCGTCATATTATTATTTTTAACATGTCAAATTAGATGAGAGAGGGTTCATATGTAATCGAGAGTTAATGTGATTAAAAGTAAGTTTTTCGCCTTTGGAATACTTCAGACGTTTTTAACTTTGATGGGTATAAAAGTAATTATAGCTGAATATTTTAGTTTTGATTCTATTTAAAATCATCTAAAAGTAGAACATGAATAAATAAAGAACCGTTACTAGATTTAAACATTAATAGGTCACTAAGTACTTTTTAAACATTAATGACCAAATAAATATAAATCTTTCCTGCAAGCAAACACATGGGTATTCACTACCCAGTCAGGAAAAGCACAGTAAATGAGAGAAAGAAGAAATGGTCAATCCAAATAATTTGCTCATCTTCAAGGTCAAAACTACCTCCCATCGTGCCAATGCCTGGATTTTTCAAACAAAAAGGAAAAAGGAAAAACCCTGTTATATCTTTACATGGAAAAATGTTATATCTTACAATCCCAAGTACAAAACTATTGAGGGTTCCCTCCATCCAACAAATTCGCCTTTTCTTTCTTATTTGCCACAAAATTCCATTTCCATCCACAACTCCTCCTCTTCATAATCTGGCATTTGTATCTGCTAATAGGCTCTTCAGCGTCTCATACGTCATGAAGCAAATGCCCACCCCAGGTACAACCTTATAGTATTCAGGTAGAATCCCTCGGTAGAAACCACTGAACCCTTCTGTCCTCAATATGTGCTTGAATACACCCAGAAGCCCTGTGGTATACACCCGAGCTCGCCCACCAGCTCCTTCCAACTGCTTTCGCCTCCTCACGAGATCCAAGGGGAAGGTCGCTGCAAATTATAGCAGGTAACATAATATAAACTGAGCTGTACGGTTAATCAGATAGAGATGACCTTCCATTTCACTTCACATAAAAGGATTAGACAACAGTAGGGGCAAACTGCTTCTTCACCAATATCACACAACAGAGAAAAGCAGCTGGAAAGCACATTGGGGTATGCAAACATGAAAGCCGCAGGTACTTAGAAATTCCCCAAGTTGTTGAAGGAACTACAATTCTAACTCACCCATCTTTAAGCGTTTTAATACAAAACAAAAGGTTGAAAACTATTTTAATCTCTGTAGCTCAGTAGTTTTATCGTTTCGATATGCTCAATTTTAATTTTTATACTTCAAACAAACAGTCATATGCACAGAGCACTAAACAAGAGTCAACCACGTTGGTTTAAATAGAAATCAAGCAAAATGCACAATGATGCTGCACGTTTGCATCAGCACTAAGTTTCCACAAGATAACTCAAGCACAGTCAGAACTGGTCTAGCCTCATACACATACTAATAGACCATGACAAAGTCCTCAAAGAGACACATGGTGAACTACTGAGACTTCAAGGATTGACAGATCCATTTAACAAATGTAAAAGGGAGCCCAAGTGAGAAGCATACCTCAGATGGGGCACCTCTCACACCTGAAAATGATATTCTAGTATATGTATATGATTAATATTGCCAAGCTCCATTCATCCCCACCACAATGCTTGGGGAGACTGCTACTAAAACCAATCTTACGCAACAGTTTTATGAGTGATAAAACAAAATTAAGTTGGTAATATGAATTTTTTTTTAATCAACTTCCTTACTAAAATTTTCATAATGCGAAACAAAATATAACTCCAGTCTGGTCTCTGTCTCTAGGGTCAGTCTGGTTAAATACTTTGGTGCAGAACCTGCACCACAGCCTGTTTCTCTGCATCAAAAGCATGGCAGACAGCGCTATGTATTAACCTCTTTTTTGCACTGACATTTTCTCCAACAAAACAATGAAAGCGGTTGAATTAAAACTTAATTAGTTCCAGAGTTATGACTAGCATCACAATTGTAGGTTAGTTGATGGTAATGCAGCACGTAAAAAGAAATATTAAAAATGAAGGGCAGGGATTTCCAGCGAGAAAAATTTTCAGATTCAAGAAACCACTTATATCCGTGAAATACTAAGATGGATACATTGCATATTTGAACCCCATAGAAATAGAATCTCTCTGAAAATTAACCCATCAGAGATCACTCACCTGTAGAGGATGCAATGCCTGATAGACTGCCACAGGTCAGGCTAACCAAAATCGTGGAATCATGAGGCCTGAAATATATTTAAAACAGTTTTTAGGACTACATGAGGATGCACATGTAGACAACTCCAAACAGTTTGCATCAAATCCAACATTTATTCGATGAATTCATTTGAAAATCCTTACCTACGAGACTGCCAGAAAGACCTCAAGCTTTCATAAACTGAAAAACTGATAGCTATGTTGGGACCAACACCCTGCACCAAAAGACAGAATTGGTGAGCTATATTTTCAAAACATGGTTTGTGCTCCTAATATAACAACTCGGAAAGTAATAAAATGCATACCAGTATTGTCGCTCCTAGTCCCTTGTAAAGACCTAGAAAACCCTCATCTCTACAAATTGTTCCCAGAGTATGCCAAATACCTTTGTAATAGACCACTTTCGTCTACAAACCAAAAATCTATAAAGTTAATGCAAAAACAAGTGCCAATGCTAACCATGGTTCAAAATTGTGTCAACCAACTGAAAAGATGCTTAAATAAAAGATGAATAAATCAAGAAAAACCAGAAAGGAATATACAAAGACCACCAATGCTATCCCAACTGAGCCTATCTAGTGTCTAATAAGACGAAATGGAAAAACCACTCACTGCCAAGCCTATGAATTTTAAGATCAGTCTAATAACCATCAAAATCCATTCCCAAGGTTAACCACCGAGGAAGTCAAGTTTTTTCCAATTTTTTGGATGAGAAAACAAGCTATAAAGCATAAATAAAAGAATACAAAGAACCCATGGGCATACAGAAAACAGCCCACACCCAAGGAGCTAAACAACTAACATATATGGCAGTCAAGTTAAGTGAAACAGTCAACTGTTTACAAGAAGTTGGCAACAACAAGATCTCACCTGAGCAGCAAGGCGAGTCCTTACAAGATCTAATGGATATGTAGTTGATGCTGCTGTAATTCCTGCCAAACCACCACCCAGGAAATGAACTAAAAGGTCTGCACTCATGCGATCCCTACGATGTTCAAGACCTGGGACCATGTGAAGTAACTACATAACATACAAGCAATCAATTAAGATCAAGGCAACTAAAAGTAAGAAATACAAAAATAAATTATCCCCGGATATAAAACTCTGCGATGGTGTTTATTCATAAAATTTAAAAAAAAAATACAAAACCTTTTTGAAGTGTTCATATGCATAGAAATTAATAGAGGAATAAGGCAGACGATGAGCAATTGTAACAAGATTTCCTTTCCAGAAAGCTCTTATTCCTTCCTCATGAACAATTCGTGAAGCCTCATGCCATATACTGGCTTTCTTCAGCAATGCAGCATCAGAGTGCATCCCTTGCACCTGTGATGATAACAAGAAACATGACAGTTATAAATCCATCAATAACGAATGATATAGTAAAGGTCATACAAACTCATTATACATCACACAGGAAGTCTTCAGCCCAAAATACCAACAGAGACATGGAACATAGCAAAATTGACAGGCCAAATACAATTAAGGACATGTTACTACACCATCCTACCTTTTTTATGTTTTTAATTTTAAATTTTTAATTATGATATTTGCATTAAAAAAATATTCTCATTTTCTTTTCTTAACATATCATTTCTTTAATAGTCTGAAATGTGTTGAAAGAGAAAAAATTTATAAAATATTTGACATTCTTTAAGAAAATGAAAAGAGACAAATGCTCAAATATACAAACTTCATAGAGGAGTGAAGTGAATAGGAAAGCAATCAAAAGAGATAAAGCACGCCAATTAAGACAAATATCCTGTACAGACAATTCAGCAAAAGTTTTTGAGAGACAACACCAAGAAGATGACTTTATATGTGCTGATTCATATCTGTCAAACCAAGAAAGATGTTGGCTTATGTAACAACCCAAGCTCACCGCTAGCCGATATTGTTCTCTTTGAGTCTCCCTTCAAGGGCTTTCCCTCACGGTTTTAAAATGCGCCACTTAGGGAGAGGTTTCCACACCCTTATAAAGAATGCTTTGTTTCCTTTCCAACCAATGTGGAATCTCACAATGGTAAGAAACATTCCTTATAAGGGTGTGAAAACCTCTCGCTAGTAGACACGTTTTAAAATCTTGAAGGGAATTCCTTGAAGGAAAAACCCAAAGAGGGCAATATCGGTTAGTGGTGAGGCCTGGGCTGTTATAGCTTACTCCTCTCCAACCACCATTCTGAATAGCTTTAACAGCATTAACCCATAAGAGATTTGCCTTTGGATTCAATAAAGGGACCAATAAGTATTTGAGAAACATTTTCCTTTTGAAAACCCACCGGATGTTGAATATCAGAAAAATAAAAATAATAAAATTAAAAACCCGAAAACATGATCCTTTATTTCCTAATAAGAATCAAATTAAAATACTACAGCTTCTCAATCAACTTCCTGAATGGTGCCAAAGAAGAAGGAAATAATAAGCATAAACTAAAGCACCTAAATATATAAAGAATTTGAAAATCAGATAGAAAATGGTCGATAATTCATATACAAAAGAATTCAGTAAATGCATTCACATTGTAATCATACATTCCTATTCTCATCATAAAACATCATTGCTTGGAAATGAAATCTTCGACCTGTGTTACCAAAGTATATATTTCTCACCTTACTTGGTTATAATGCAAAAGTCGTCAATATTACTCCAGTATAGAACCCAAAAACTGTATTCCGAAGCTATATAGCTTCAGGAAAACGTTTTGCGAAAGAGGGAAAAACTGGAGAGGGATAAAAAGAGAACAGTGATTATCCAGAATTTTCATTTTCAAAAGCCTAACTTCAAACCGAAAGTAACCCACGTCCCAAAAAAAAGAGAACAGAGCAAACCAAGCCTACAACTAAAGCGTCGATAGGATAGCAACTAGGAAATTAAGTTCATCACTGACATTCACGAATCAAAAGCAGCAAGATTAATAGATAGAAAACAAAGTAAAGGAACCTGAAAGAGAATTGTAAGTCGTGCGAGTGGTGCTGTGCAGGTCTTACTAAAAGCACCAGCAACGCCTCCAGAGAGAAGCTGCGACACCGTCCCAATCTGCGATTGCTGAAGCGACTGTTGCTTTTTGGGAGCGAAATTTCTGGCACCTCCCTCGACAGAAACCACTCCTCCATGACCAGAGCTGAGAGCCCTCTGCCCTCCTTCTATCATCACACTAACCCTCGCCTCCGTTTGCATGTCAAATTAAAAAAATCAGAGTACTTGAACCACTACCAACANGTCGAGCAAAACGCCAAGCATCTTCACCTATCAACTGGCAATCAAAATAGACGATATCCTGAAGTTCCTTCAATTTAACTCAAATATCCGAAGAAAATCAACTTTCGGACAGTAATGCAGTAAGCATTTCTTTTTCGACTACCAAGAGCTCCCTGACTTCAATGGAAGTTATATTTCATTTACACTAATTCATAAATAAGCCAAAAGAACAATAAGAAGAGGAAAAAAAAAAAAAAAAAAAAAAAAACCCCTTGTCCTGTTCTAGGTTTTGAACCTCATTGCTTAAAAACTCTGCGTTAAATTGAAGGAAGAATCTACAGAGAAAGGAAGAAGATGAAGAAGGCGGTAGATACGACATCGTTTATGTCCAGAATGAGAGTCCAAAACGAATCGTTTTGGTCACCGACGTCATGATTCATTGAATTCCCCAATCTACTTTATTGTTTCTGGTTGTAATAGTGCTAAAATATAATCGGGTGCAGTCGATATATGCTCTGCTTGGAATATGTGATTCGTTTGTTTTGGAATATTCTTGTAGGTGGTAACGGTGAGAAAGATAGCGTGCGGGTGGAGCTCCATAAATTTTGTGTTCATCACATTAATAATTAAATAAACGAATTTCAATTTCCTTTGATTTCTTTTTAAATATAATGCCTAAATTATCTTTCTTTTAATTATAAAAAAAAAATATATATTTGAAACTAGAAAGGATATAAAATGTTTTATTCTTCCACTTTCTAATTTTTTTAATATCTTTTATCATTAGAATACAAGCTTAAAAAAGGCAACACAAACTATAATCTCTCTCTTAATTAATTCCCATGCTATTCTATTTTCAACCCATAAAAACAATCCATTCTACTCTTAATTTCTTTTTAATATATATATAATAAACATTCCATCAAAAAAATAAAAATAAAATTGAGACATTAACTACTTCTAAAAGCGAATATTATCCTCACAGTTCTTTAATTTGTCTTTACATTTTTTTATAAAAATTGAGATAGTGGATCCTTCCGTTCTTTCATTCAATGGAATTGGAGGGACCAAATCTTTCAGGTTAATAGTTCAAGAAACGTTGAGCCAAGCCGTAGTGTCGGCTTCTCTTGTTTGGAGTGATGGTATGCATGATGTAAGAAGTGCTATTATATATAGTCTAGGTTGTTAACAAACCTTAGTTCAATTGAATCTTGAAGGGAGATGTTTCTGAAGTTGAAGTGAATTTAAATTGAGTATGAAATGAAACATATTAGTACTAACCATGATTATTGAGAGCTCAAAGGCATGGGAGTCTTAAAAGTAAGACTTGGGTGCTAGTTCCTGCGTCTAGCTTTTGTAGCCCCATTGACCCAATAATATGGTGCCACTTGTCCTCACATTTTTCAAATCTCTTTTTTCAATTTTTGTCCTTTTCCTTTTTTCCATTCCCATTTAAACAATAACATTTTACACGTTTATATTCTAAAATTACGTACTTTTTTCTATTTTTTTTTTTTTAAAGCATAATCTTTGATATTATCACTTCGAGATATTTTTCTCCCGTCATTATTTTAAATGGATTAGTTGAAAATAAATGAATTTAATTATACGAAAATATAATATAGTAATTTTTAATTTAATTAAAAAAATAGTAGGTTAAAATTGAATGGATTCCAATCAATAATGGAAGTTTTGTCCTATTAGAGAAGTAATAATTTTAAGACCTACGACCCTCATAATTTTATATTTATGTTTGAAAAAAAAAAACAATATAATTTTAAAATAAGTGGTGGGGATTACTTCCGTGTAGCTTTTGGTGACGTAGTGCGATGTCGTGTGTGTTTTTTAAATTCTGAATTTTTAGTTGGTTTCGTCTTTTCTCAAACAATACTCATCTTTTCAAATTCAAATTTGGACACAGAAAAAAGCCAAACAATAGTTTAATTATAAGACTTCTACAAATGAAAAAAAAAAAAAAAAAAGACAAATATAATTTACAGAGAGATGTCGTGGAGAAAAAAAAGTAGGAATTGTTGAGGGTGAGTCTCGCATTGGCCAATTAAGATGATGATCATGAGTTAATAAGTAATATGTCTCCACTAGAATGAGATATTTTTGGGGAAAACAAAAGCTTATGCTCGAAGTAGACAATGTCATACCATTTTTGAGGGTCTCGATTCCTAACGCTTTAAACTTAAAAAAATATATAAAAAATATGTAAAGAGTTAGATTTGAATAAAAATTATTACTAAGGTTGTTTTGATATTCATTTATCTTTAATCTTCCTATTAGTTGTTATATTTGGTATTTTTTTAGTTTGTTTTGAAAACTCAAACCAAATTTTAGAAGATAAAAAAACAGTTTTTGAAAATTTAGATTATTTTTAAGGATCCACTAAAAAAATTTTAAAAAAAAGTGAGAAAAAAAACCAAGTTGAAAAAAAATATATATTATCATCCTAAAATATTTATTGTTAAAAAAAATAAAAAATAAAAACTTAGTAGATGATCATAGGGTGGGAAGTCTCTATAAAAGGCCATCCATGTTGTGGCTCTGAGAACATCATCACAAAAAGCATCATGTGTTCTCTAGCCTTGAGGCTCGTGTTTCTCAACCTTCTTTTTACTTTGCTCATCACTACCTCTGCTTCCAATGGCGATGGAAGAAAGGTATAAAAACCAGTTTTGTTTTTCTTTTTTGTTCGTTGAAATACAAAACTGACATTTTGTTTCTTCTTCTAAATCCTGGTAGATTTATATAGTGTACATGGGGAGCAAGCCAAAGGACTCATCTCAAGCTCATTTGCACCATCGGGCAATGTTGGAAGAAGTGGTCGGAAGGTGGATATATATATTTTGTTATGCATGCTGAAGGCAGAAAGCATTGTTATATTAATCATATGTACAACTTTTTTTGTTTGTGTTTTTGGGATTAGTGCTTTCTCTGCCGAATCTATAGTGTATAGTTACAAAAGAAGTTTCAACGGATTCGCAGTGAAACTCACAGAAGAAGAAGCTCAAAGGATGGCCGGTACGTACCACAAATAGAATGAACACCCTTTCATTATTACTATTATTATTATTATTTGTTTGAAACTGATTGGGACATGTCATTTCAGATAAGGAAGGTGTGGTGTCTGTGTTTCCAAGTAAAAATAACAAACTGCAAACTACAAGATCATGGGATTTCATAGGTTTTACACGAGATGTTCCTCGAATACCTCAACAGGAAAGCGACATCATTGTGGGAGTCTTTGACACCGGAATTTGGCCGGACAGTTTAAGTTTCCACGACCAAGGTCTTGGTCCTCCACCGCCCAAATGGAAGGGTACTTGTGAAGCCTCCGCCAACTTCCGTTGCAACAGGTAAACTTGATATATATATATAAGTATAAAAAAAAAAAAAACAAATAATGTGTTTGATTGAAAAGAGTTGGAATGATTTAGAAAAATCATCGGAGCTCGAGCATACCGAGCAGTGGGCCCTCTGCCCCCTACTGAGGCTTGGGGACCCATCGATACAAACGGCCATGGGACGCACGTTGCATCGACGGTGGCTGGTCGTCTGGTGGATAATGCAAGCTTATACGGGTTTGGGCTGGGGTTGGCGAGAGGAGGGGTTCCCTCTGCCCGCATTGCTGTGTACAAAGTATGCTGGGGAAGAACGTGCGAGGATGCTGATATGCTTGCGGCATTCGACGATGCAATAGCCGACGGTGTTGATATTTTATCTCTTTCAATTGGCGGTCTAGTGAGGCCTTTCTTTCATGATGGCATTGCCATTGGAGCTTACCAGGCCATGAGAAACGGAATACTGACCTCCAACTCCGCCGGCAATGATGGTCCTAATTGGTATACCACTGGAAGTTTGGCCCCATGGATGCTATCTGTCGCTGCTAACACCATTGACAGGAACTTCGCAGCACATGTACAACTTGGAAATGGAAATGTGTACCAGGTCCTCTCACCTTCATTTCTGAATTACATTTAAATTTCGTTTTTACTCTGTTTTTTTTTTTTTTTTTCACTTTTCCATCAAGTTTATTATTATTATTTATATGGAAATGTGCAGGGAGTTGCAATCAACTTATTTGATCTTGGGGGAAAGCAATATCCGTTAGTTTATGCTGGAGATGTGCCCAATATCGGTGGAGGATTCAATAGCAACATCTCGAGGTAATCCCAAACTCACTATTTTCAGTTAGGTGAAGAAACAGATTTTGAGACAGTGACTATATGAAACAGATTTTGTGGTGTGAACTCGGTGGATCGGAACTTGGTGAGGGGAAAAATTGTTTTGTGTGATTCTTCGGGTGCAAGTTTCCCTTCTCTAAATGGCGCAGTGGGCGTGGTGATGGAAGGCACCACCACGTGGCAATTGATTCGAACCTTTCCCTTGCCCGCTTCCCACTTCAACCCACCGAGCGCCAACCCAATTAGGCTCTATATCACTTCAAACCCGTACGTACTTTCAAGTTCCGAAAAACTATTGCTGTTTTTATTTCCACTTTTAGTGTTTAAGTTCTAATGATTCATCTGTTGAGTTCCGTAGAGCTCCCACTGCCACCATTTTCAGGAGTGTGGAAGTCAACCACACGAATGCTCCTGTTGCAGCTGACTTCTCCTCTAGGGGACCCAATGCCATATCCCCCAACATTCTGAAGGTCACTTAATTTGTGTTTCTATCGTCTTTTGTTCAACACTTCCTTACTTAACATCATCTTATGTACTACTGTATGCAGCCGGATTTGAGTGCTCCTGGAGTTAATATTCTAGCTGCATGGCCTCAAAACGTGCCCATCTCTCCTGGAGATCCATTGTCGTCGCCTTATAATTTTGCGTCAGGCACATCCATGGCTTGTCCTCACGTCACTGCAATTGCTGCATATGTAAAAACTTTCAATCCCTGGTGGTCGCCAGCTGCCATAAAGTCAGCTCTAATGACAACCGGTAATACTAATACCTAAACTCTAAACAAAAAATGGAAGATTGCAACCAAATATTGGTGTTTGAGCTTTGATCATTTCATTTTGTACAGCTTTTCCCATGGATGTCAAAGTCAATAGACAAGCAGAGTTTTCATATGGTTCAGGCCAAATCAACCCACTCAAGGCAGTAAATCCAGGGTTGGTCTACAATGCAAGTGAAAGCGACTACGTGGAATACTTGTGTGGGATACCGGGCATCACCCCTGCCCAGCTCCGACTGATCACTGGTGAAGATATTATTTGTACTGACAGCAACACTGGACGTGACTTGGATCTAAACTATCCTTCTTTTGCTCTGTTCATGGGGCGTGGTCAATCCCTCCGTGTATTCTTCCCAAGAACACTCACAAACGTTGAAGCTACAGTGTCCACATACAGAGCTACGGTTTATTCTCCTCCAGGACTCAACGTCCAATTCAAAGTGGATCCTCCTGCTTTGACATTCCATGGCATTGGAGATACCAAATCATTCACGCTGGGTGTTCAAGGATGGCTGTCCGCAACCGATCCCACAACAGTTTCTGCATCTTTGGTGTGGAGCAATGGTGTTCGTGAAGTTAGGAGCCCTATAGTATTGTTTTAATTCACCCAATAATAATCTTAAACCTTGGGCCCCTATTTGTTTTAAGTTTGAACAAAGGAAATGAAAAGTGTGGGGAGCTGGGACACTGTTCTTTGGCTTCCTATCACTTTCATTTTGGCTCGTCTCTCATCCTCCTCTAAATTGGGTTTCCCTCTAAATAAAATGCATTATTAAATACTAAAACGCAAATGTCCCATATATTGTCCGCTTTAATATAGGAAATGAAATCAAGGAACAAATGAGATTGAAAATTGAAGAAGGAGATCGAGTGTAACAGTCAAAGCCTATCGCTAACAAATATTGTCCGCTTTAATCTATTACGTATCGTCATCAGTTTCACGGTTTTAATGCGAGTCTACTAAGAAGAGGTTTCCGCACGTTTATCAAGAATGCATATTATTTTAAACAATTATTCATTGGTTGAACCATTTTCTTCTATAATCACAATTATTGTGTTGTCCTCTTAGGTTGGATTGCAGCTTTGGGAGGTTAAAATACAAAAAGGAGCGAATTGAAGCCGAGAATTAGATGTTGAGAAGGAAGACAAGAATTAATGTTAACTATATTTCCTCACTATTTTTGCCTGGCTTTTTATGACAACCCATTGTCTTTTAGTTGAATTGTCGTGTGTCTTTTGTATAGCAATTCATTGTATTGCAGTTCTTTTTCACCATGTTTCCTAATATTATCTTCACCTTAACTTTCCTATGCTTGCTAGCTACTACAGTTACTCCTACGCCCTCTCTCAAGACAAATTTGCTATGCAAAGTTGTCCATCTAAACTATCGATTACACTACCTTAACGGGCATGTGCCTAGTTCGATGGTACTGATATCAAAGTGTTAAAAATCGTCATTAGTCTAATTAGATCTAGTTCAATAATTATACGAGTCAATTGTCTATATATCTTAGGAAAATGATCATCATTTACAGTGTACACTATCAATAGATACCCCCACTTTTCAACTAATGTTCATCTACCCCTTAATTCATTTAATAACCCCAAAATGACTTCAAGCATGTGATCATACACTTACTTTTACGACTATTTGAACGCAAATACTAATTATAATATACTCAACTTATCAAGAAAAGAAAAGAAAAGGCATATATTTTTGGATTGTTAAAGTAATGATGGGAGAAAACAAAGTTAAAGCGCTTGGTTGCACATAAAACAAAGACACTGTTCTGATACTTCAAGGTCTTATTTTGACAACTTCCATGTATAATATATGTGTCTGGTGTTGGAGTTGACCAAATTACATTGTTGTTCTGGCGGCCGGCCAAAGTGGCTGTAATTTGATGAGTTTGAGAAACCCGAAGTAATCAATTAGTTTGTTTGTATGTATGTATATAAAACCAAAACCCTCAACGTGTAATATCATCATAGATTAGGGCTCTAAGCTTTTAAACAATGGAACATTGGCATGGATTCTCTTTCAATGGCAGGCTTTTGCTAATGGCTTTTGCCGCCACTTTGCTCCTCACCTCCCAAGCAGCTGATGATAGAAAGGCATTTCATTCTCAAATTTTCATTTCCCAATTTCATTTTTAGTTTTCTGATGTGTGTGTCATCAACTCCATAACCCTAAGTAACATTATTTATATGCATATAGTAAGGGTAATTATGTTGGTGACAACAGAAAACTGAATTGAGATTGAGAGGAGGAGTGAGTTGAATGATGGGGAGGGAGGTCCTTTTATAGGCGATTCCAGTGTGGGTTGAGATTTTCTAGGGTGATTCCGTAGTCGGTTGAGATTTTTGTGGATGAATTTGAATTTGAAACCAATTCAAATTCTATTCTATTATTAGTTTCAACACCCTCCCTTAAACTGAATTCTGCGTAAATCAGTTTAGGACTTCATTTCATCTCCTTGATATACATCTTGGATTCTGCATATCCCCATCTTTCTTCTGAGCTTCTCGAACAATGGTTGTTGTCGTATCCTCTCGACCAACCATGCTTGCCACCTCTATTGAATTTACCACCCCTTCCACGGTTGCCTTTATAGTCACGATGATGCTTTTCTTGGCTGCTGCGGAGCGCTCTCCAATACTTCTTCTCAGCCTCACCTGAAACTGGTTCTAAAGTGGCTATAAAATTTTTCACAGCCAATCCCCCTTGATCAGCAAGGACTGCAGCCGCACGAGCCTTCTGGGCAGCTTCAGGCTCATCAAACCTGATATAACCAGACTCTTCTCCCATCTTAAAATCAATGTACTTGATACTTCCGAACTTCTGAAAAATAGCCTTCAAATCCTCGCGTGAAACAACGTTCTTGTCGTTTCTAGATGAGGCAAATGTGGGTTTTTCTTCAGCCTCTTCACGTTCGTCTGTGGGATCATCCATAGACTGATCTTCCACTTCAGGTTTTTCTTCATTGCCTGAATCATTTTTCTTATCAGCTTCTTCGATCTTATCATCAGAACTCTTCTGAATTTCTTCATTTTTTACTGCTTCTTCATAGACAATTGGATCACTATCCATAAAGAATGCAAAATAACCACTATCACTTGATTCATAATCCATCTCATAATCAATCATCCAGTTTGGTCTTTTTCTTGTTCTTGGATGTCTTTGATTATGATCATGATCTTCTTCTACTGGTTCTTCTTGTTGAGCTTGTGATGAGCTCTCTCCATGCTCATAGTGAGGCTGAATAGGGGCTTTAGTTTGTTCTTCTTCAAGATCTACAGGAATCTGCTGATTCACAGTAGGGGCTTTAGTTTGTTCTTCTTCAAGATCTACAGAAATCTGTTGATTCACAGTGATCTTTTCTTCCCATGTCCAAGTCTTCTTTTCGTCAAAGACTACATCACGACTTACCACCACCTTCTTTGTCAAAGGATCGTAGAGCTTGTATGCCTTAGAGGTCTCGCTTACTCCAAGGAACACACACTTCGAACTCTTGTCCTCAAGTTTCTTCCTTTTCTCATCAGGAACGTGTGCATATGCTATGCACCCAAAGATTCTAAAGTGGTCTACTGCAGGTTTTCTTCCGCTCCATGCTTCTTGTGGAGTCATGTCTCTAACAGAAAAGGTAGGGCTCCGATTGAGAATGTGAACGGACCACACAACAGCTTCTGGCCAGAATTCCTTCGGGACTTCTCCTTTATTTAGTAAACTTCGAACCATGTTCAGAATGGTCCTGTTTTTCCTTTCGGCCACACCATTTTGTTGTGGTGTATATGCTGTTGTTAATTGCCTCCGTATGCCCTTCTCTTCACAAAATTGAATAAACTCTTTCGAGCAGAATTCTCCACCTCTGTCAGTTCTTAAAACCTTGACTCTTCTTCCAGTTTCGGTTTTCATAGTAGCACAAAATTTTTTGAAGCAGTCAAAGGCTTCTGATTTGGCGTGCAAGAAATAAGTCCATGTTTTTCGACTAAAATCATCGATGAGGGTCATGAAATATTTCTTGTTGCCATTTGATGCAGGAGAGATGGGACCACATATGTCTGAATGAATCAACTCCAAAATTGCTTGAGCTCTTCTTGATTTTCCGGATGGAAAAGAGTTTCTTTCATGTTTTGCTACTACACAGCTCTCGCAAATTTCCGTTGGTGGAGTAATATCTGGCAACCCAGTTACCATCTTTTTTGAGGACAACGTCTTTAATCCTTTGAAGTGTAGATGACCATACCTAAAATGCCAAAGCCAAGTGGTATCTTCTTTCTTCACCATCAAACTTTTGGCAACGATATTTAACGTCAACGGATATAGACGGTTGGTGGTCATCTTCATCTTAGCAATCGATCCTCTTTTGGAGTCATAAATTTCACATTCATCATTTTGGAATGTGATCACATACCCCTTTTCTTGTAACTGACCGATACTAAGTAAGTTGGCCTTCAGATCAGGAATGTAGAATACATTAGAAATAGACTCTACAAAGCCATTTCTAGTCTTGATATCTACGGTTCCTTTCCCCATCACTTGGAGAGATGAATTGTTGCCAAGAGAGACCGTAGTATGAAAATTTTCATCTAAAGTTGAGAAGAATTCCTTACAACCTGTCATATGATTGCTGCATCCAGAGTCTACGACCCATACACCTTGATCTGCAACCTTCATAGCATGGAATGACATTAATAATGTTTCTTCTTCTCTTCTCTCCATAAAATTGGATTGATTTCTTTTCTCCTTTTGGAGCCTGGTATAGCATTCATTTTTGTAATGTCCAAGGCGTCCACATCTGTAACATTCCACCTTAGACTTGTCAAAGTGTCTCTTGCCTTTGTTGTCATAATCGTTTCTGACTAGGTCTGCTGACCTGCCAACATCTCCACTTCTTTCTCGACTGCCTCTCTCACGACCTCTGCCTCTTCTTTGCCCTCTACCTCTAGAGCTTGAAGTTTCACTTGGTGTGGATATCTTTAAGGCTGTCATCTCCTCTATTGCACTTGTACGATTGAGCCTCTGCTCATGTACTAACAGGGAGCTTTGGAGTTCATCTATTTGCATTTCCTCGACATTGTTTGCTTCTTCGATAGAACATACAATGTAATCGAACTTTGGTGTTAGTGATCGCAAAATCTTTTCTACGACCGCAACATCTGTGATTGAACCACCATGCATCCTCATTTTACTTGCAAGACTTATAACCTTGCCAATATAATCATTCACTGTTTCTCCCTTTTGCATTTGGAGAATTTCAAAGTCTCTCCTAACTGCCTGTAGTTGAGCACGTTTTACTCTCGTTGAGCCTTGATACTTCCTCCTCATAGAGTCCCAAATTTCTTTGGATGTCTTCTTCTGAAGCATTGTTTCCAAGATAGTCCTATCAATGGACTGAAATAAATAGTTCTTGACCTTCAGGTCCTTCAACTTCGATGCTGCCAACAGTTGCTGTCGATCAGCTGAGAGTACCTCGCCTTCATTTGGCTCTTCATAACCTGTTTCCACCATATCAAAGAACTCCTTTGATCTGAGAAAATTTTCCATCAACATCGCCCAATGATCATAGTGACCGTCGAACCTCGGGATGGAGGATTGGCTCTGAGGGCTGGGCACGGGGGTCCCAGTCCCGAACCCGTCGGCTGTTGGTGGACTGCTCGAGCTACTCCCGCGGCGAGAGCGGGTCGCTGCGTGCCGGCCGGGGGACGGACTGGGAACGGCTCCTTCGGGGGCCTTCCCCGGGCGTCGAACAGTCAACTCAGCTCTGATACCAGTTGTTG